TTAAAATTCCCAGTAATTTTCAGAAGTGCCAAGAAAAACAAAAGAAAAATTAAGGAAAAACGGGAAGTTTTACGCAAAATCGATTTTTCACAAAATTGAATTTGGTTTTTGGTGTAGCATTAAAAAAAATTACCGTAGACACATGCAATTTTTACTGATTGTTTATATTTGAATTTTCTATACACGATAACATTTTCAAAATATTTTGATTTATTTTGAACAGTTTAGGGACATTTTCATTTAAAATTTTTTTCAGTTTTTTTTCTAAAAATATCAATAAAATTGTATTTGTTAGTTAAAAAAGCTTGAAAATTTAATAGAAGGCTCCTTGTATATTTTTTCAAAGGCAGATGAAAAATATTAAAAATCCTTAGTCACAGTTTTTTTTTATAAGCATTTACAGTTCAAAAATGAACAAAATATGGAAAAATCATGAAAATTAGAAAATTATTTTGAGTTAAGAATTCATAAAACTTTTTCTTTTTAAATCTAAGATTTGAAAATGTAATACAAGATTACTCATAAGTTTGTCTACCTTTATCAATAAAAAAATTTCTACCGGAACGTCAAATTAAATTTTTATCAGGGTTTGAAATTCAAATTTTTACAACATTTGATATTCACTCGATTTCTCATGTAGCGATTTCTTTATTTTGTTGTAATTCAAAGACGAATAACTTTAGATACATGAAAATTTCACTGAATATTTATATTAGCATTTCTTATACACCATACAATTTTAAAAATATTTTGACTCTTTTTGAGCTGTTTACGGACAATTACAGTTTTCAATTTTTTAGTTTTTTTTTTCTATAAATATCAATAAAGTTTTATCTGTTGGGCCAAAAAGTGTAAAAATTTAATACAAGGCTCCTGATATATTGTTACAATATCAGTTGAAAAATATGTAAAATACCCGTGGACAATTTTTTTTTATAAGCATTTAAAGATCGAATTTTGACAAAATTTATCAAATTTGAAATTGAATAATTATTTTTTAGTTAAAAATTTATAAAATGTTTAACTTTTAATCAAATAGAATTGAAAATTGAAAACAATATTTCATGTAAGTAGTTAATTCTGTTACCAAATACTCTAAAAAATACACAAGCATAGTTTATTTTTATAGTCATTTTAAGTTAAAATTTGGAAGAAATTTACATATTAAAATCGATATTAACGATTTTGGTTTTTTTTTGTGATTGTATTATATTATTCGTGGGTACTTGACACTTCTAAAGTGTACTATTATATATCTATGATAGTATCACGGTTTGTTGTTGATGTATAACCCGTTATAAGTACCTAATGGATATTGTGATATGATTAATTTGGAATTTATTGTAGGTACCTACCTACCTATTATAGGTCAATTTTTTTAATACCATAAATAAGTATATAATATGCCATATATCTAGACTGACATACCTTCTCCGCTCAGAATCGTTTTTCTTATACAATGATATTATATCATTGAAATCAAATTTAATACCATCCATTATACAGTGACCCACTTGTAACTTACTGTACAGCAGAGCACCTTTTTTTTATTAGTCAGTACAAATAAGATTATTTTGGTAGGTACCAACAAAAAAAATCCAACACGTTTTACTTATATTCTAGGCCCTAGAATCTAGAGTGGCGACACCATTCACCAATAAATGCACAAATTTAGTTTTGAATATTTGTTTTTATAAAATATTATAGTTTTACACATTTAATCATCGACCGTGGACCTACGAATTGAATTTGAAACGGATTTAATCCCAAAATCTCAGTCTAGGTTTAAGACAAATTATATAGGTACATATCTATGGTATTAAAAAAAAAATTGACCTATAATAAATTTCAAATTAATCATATCACATTATCACAATATCCATTAGGTAGGTACTTATAACACGTTATACATCAACATCAATAACAAACCCTGATACTATCATAGATATATAATAGTACACTTTAGAAGTTTCAAGTAGGTACCCACGAATAATATTATATAATCACAACAAAATAACTAGGTTTTTTAATATGTAATTTCGTCCAAATTTGAACATAAAATGACTATAAAAATAAACTGTGATTGTATATTTTTTAGATTTTTCGGTAAGAGAATTAACTACTTACGTGGAATCTTGTTTTAAATTTTCAATCCTTAGCTATAAAAACTGAACATTTCATAATTTATTAATTACGATGATTAATAATTTTCGAGATTTTGAAAAATTCTGTCAAAATTCGATGTTTAAATGCTTATAAAAAAAAATTGTGCCCATGTATTTTTAATATTTTTCAACTGATATTGTAACAATATGTCAGGAGCCTTGTATTAAATTTTTACACTTTTTGGCACAACAGATAAAACTTTATTGATATTCATAGAAAAAAAAACTAAAAAAATTGAAAAATGAAAATGTCCGTAAACAGCTTAAAAAGAGTCAAAATATTTTCAAAATCGTATGGTGTATAGGAAATGCTAATATAAACATTCAGTGAAATTTTCATGTATCTACAGTTATTCGTTTTTGAATTACAACAAAATAAGGAAATCGCTACATGAGAAATCGAGTGAATAACCAATGTTGAAAAAATTTGAATTTCAAACGCTCATAAAAATTTAATTTAACTGTCCGGTAGAGATTTTTTTATTGATACAGGTAGACAAACTTATGAGTAATCTTGTATTAGATTTTCAAATCTTAGATTTAAAAGGAAAAATTTTTACGAATTCTTAACTCAAAATAATTTGCTAATTTTCGTGATTTTTCCATATTTTGTCAATTTTTAAACTTTAAATGCTTATAAAAAAAATTGTGACTAAGGATTTTTAATATTTTTCATCTGCCTTTGAAACAATATATTAGGAGCCTTCTATTAAATTTTCAAGCTTTCGCAACCAACAAATAAAATTTTATTGATATTTCTAGAAAAAAAACTAAAAAAAAACGAAAAATAAAATGTCCCTAAACTGTTCAAAATAAATCAAAATATTTTGAAAATGTTATCGTGTATAGAAGATGCAAATATAAACAACCAGTGAAAATTGCATGTACCTACGGTCATTTGTTTTAAAGTTACACCAAAAACCAAATTCAATTTTCTGAAAAATCGATTTTGCGTAAAAATTCCCGTTTTTCCTTAATTTTTCTTTTGTTTTTCTTGGCGCTTTTGAAAAGTACTGGGAATTTTAAATTTTGACCTCCCCAATGCACCAATGATATTCACTTTCCAATCGAACAAGATACTGAAGTCGAAAATCGAAGCATTATTTCGACTACTTATCGTGTACACAGATACAAAAAAAATAAAAAAAAAACACACATCATTGTAAAATCAATACATTCATCGTTTCACTCAGAATCTAAAATGATGGTGCCAAAAAAAAATTGAAAAAATCGTTTGGTAGCTAAACTGCAATTGTTCCCTAGTACACTGTACATTAGAAGAAAATATTTTGTATATCTGGTTCAATAGTTTAATACAACACAGTTTTAAAATATTAACTATTTTATTATTAAATAACAAGTATTAACAATATATTTAATTTAATATACAACATCTAATTTTGTGAATACACAAGGTGCCTATTTTAAAATTACTAAATAACTAATGAAACTTTCACTTTCAATAATAAACAGTAAATTTAAATTAAAAAAAAAAAATATACATAATATATATAAAAAAATAATAATATTAAGATGTAACAGAGAAACAAAGCATGATTTTAAATTTAATAAAAAAACAACACTTAATAAATAATATAGATATTGATTAACAGGTAAATTTAACGACACAATAGTTATAAATCTGAATATCTAAGTTTCCATTTAAAATGGTTCATTATAAATTAATCACTTGTAACTGCTAAATAAATTTATACCTAATATTGGTTTACAAGTTTGTTCATAAGGAAATTCTTAAGAATAATTTTGTAATTAATTCAATAATTTAAAATTCTAAAAAATTTGAATAGTGAATTATTATTTATTTCTACCTTATCATAAAAATAATTAATTACTATATTCTAAAAATTATTTAATTTTTTTAATAGCATTCAGAAGTTATAAATACATTTTTTAATTATATTAAAAACTTGTACCAATTTTATAAAAAAAAAACCCTGCTCACTAAATAAATATAGGAATTAATTTAATGTTGTGTGGGTACAGGGCCGGGAACTTGACATAATATTACTTAGTAAGCGACATATTCAAAGTCTGGTTTAACAACAAATTCAAATTCTCAATTTTTTTTTTGCATTAACTTGTAGAATTAATTTATAATTGTTGAACATTTTAAAATGGAAATTTAAATATATTATATATTTTGATATAACCGCCCTATTGTTTGTTATACATTAGTTTTTATTTTTTGCAGTTAAGAATATTGATTAAGTTGCCAACAATTATAATAGCATCAGTATAAAAAAAAAGAAAATAATGTAATGTTTTGCATAATTTAACTTTTTGAATAATTATGCATATTTGAAAATTATTAAGTTTGCAAACTTATGGAATATTATATATTTTAGAATATTAAGTCCAAGCCCTAGATATGTGTATTATACACATATATTATAAATACATTTATTTATTATTTAAATAATAATATAATATACAATCTAAATTACTGAGATCTCTGTAAAACTTTCTAATCTAGCCTAACTTAACCATAAAAATATAATTTATTAAATGTAATTAAGGTTATGATTTAGTTATAAAATGTTACTTTAAATTGTTTAATTGATAACTTAAATAAATATAAAATTATATAATGGCACAAGATGTAGTCTATAATAATATATTCTTTAGTTCAGATTTTAAAATAGTAATACAATAAAAATGTAAAATTGTTTAAAAATAATAACAGAAACGAATTATATTTAAAAAAAAAAAAATAGCTTATAAAAATCAATCAAAAAGTATTTTAAACTAGGAACTAAATAGAAAATAATGTTTTTGAACTATTAATTAATATTTATTCTCAACGTTTAATGTAAGTTACAGTAAATGTTTTAATATATTTCCATAAGAATCTTCAGCAATAATAGTTATACCATTATTTGCTAACTGTACTGGAAGAATGAATGTACGTTTGTTATTATTTTTAACAAATTCCCATGAATGCATAACAAGGCCATCCTCTCTCCTTAATTGAACTACTCTCAAGCCATTTCGTGAAGTCAATAAATTTCTATAAATTGAATGCATCATTAAAGTTTTATAATTTTTTTTAACTTCTTTATATTTTAATGATATAACCTTTTTGCTACATAATCAATTTTGTGTTCATTGTTGTTTTCTTCTTTGAAATCATTAAACCATCTAAAACCATAATTAAGATCCAATTAAAATTAAAATAATACATGGATTTACAATACAAAATTATACTTATGAAATGAAAGTATTGACGCACATCCCATAGACCAACATATTATGTGTTTTGAATCATACTCATCTATTGTTTCATTTTCAATTGTATTGTTATTATTAGACATATCGTCCTTCATATTTATTGTGTTTGAATAATTTTCAATACATATAATATATCCTTTGTTGGCAGGCTTTATTTCTTGAGCAATATTTTTATTATCCAATGTAAAAATTAAATGAACATTATCGAATCCTCGTCCCATAATGCCATATTTCGAGTGGCCTAAATCGAATGTGTGTCCCAATTCATGCCATACAGAACCTAAGGTTGTGCTAAAGCATCCACCAAAATTTCCTCTATAAAATCAATCAGTTTAATATTCTTCTTTACAATGAAAAAAAAAAACATAAATACTATAATCCAAACTACCTGAAACAGCTGTCATCTAACAATGTGCCGGTATCGACTTTTGCCATGTTCATGAAACATGGTAAAACTTCCTCTAGCTTACTAGGCCAAGTGTAAAGACAACCCGTTCCAAATAATGCCAGTCCACCACCACCCAATGCAACATGACCATGTAAATTCTGTCCATCCCAATAAGTACAAGATAGGAAAGCTAAATATTTTTGAGTTTTAGAATTTTGGCCAGCAGTCAACTCCCTGGCAATATATTCCCATAATTTCTCAGGATGCATGTTAAATACTGTGCGCCTTGTTAAAGAGCTTTTAATTATACGACATTCTTTTTCAACTTTAAATGTTTTCTTTCCAAAACCTTTTTCATACATTTTTTCAGCTGTTAACATTTGAATTAATTTGGAGCATAAAGTTATTTTAGTGCAAGCATTTTGAACAGAATTATCATGATCTACAGGGGCCTAAAAATAAATACATCAATACATTGTTAAGTATGTAATTACTAATTTATTTGAAATATACACGAGCAATTAAGATAAATATTTAATCATAAACGTTAAATCCTAGAATTTACCTGGAATCTACCATCATGATCAGCACAAATTACGTAAACTGGACACACAGTGTAGTTAGTAACTCTTTGTCTGTATACTAATTTTGTGTGTAAGACCTCATTGGCGAATTTAAAAACCAACATATTATCGCCAATTTTTAATTCTATTATTATTTTAAATTTATTTTTATTCACTGACCAGCGAGACTCTGCTAACTGTTTACCATTGTTTGAGTAATGTTTGAGTATAATATTCGATTCATCGTGTACGTCAACGAATCCTTTAATCAAAATAGTTGAATAAGTAAATATTTCATTATTTGTGATGTTGGTCAAGTGTATTTTGTTCATTATAAATTTTTATATAGACGTATGAATACAACAATCAAACAAAATATAAAAGTTAATACTGCATTTTTTAAATAAAAGTTTCAGAAAATATTGAACCGATATTAAAACAATGCTTCAATGCATGCATATAGTTAGTAGTTACGATATAAATGTAAGTATTGCAGTATTCAAGAAACGAGAATTAAATTAAATTTTTAAATCCGCGCTCGCGCAGTATCAGTTGTTGTACTGTACTGCTGTATCACATTATAAATAGGATCAATATCGTTACCACCATTTGATTGTTCTGTGATAGAACTTATCAATCTGTTATAACTTATAAGTGATTAAGTGATAAGTCTAGAGAGGACTTTTTTACTTAATAGGATATTAGAGCAATATTTGATTTCTCTCTTAGACCCATACGAAAAATGGATAAAACGCTTTCACCTAAAATCGTTCTTTATGATTGTTGAGTGATATTAGAGTAAAATCAACTTTTACAAAAATTATAGATGATAATATTTTTGAGGGTGTCATCATCGATTAACGATTTCATATTTTATTGTTATTTGACTTTGTATTCGACTTTCAAAATAAACGAAAAAAATGTTGCAAATTTAAATGTTGTTTAAATTGTTTTGAGGCAAATCGATAAGACGTCATACCTTCAAAAATATTGTCTATCGTTTTTGTAACGGGTAATTTATTTTACTCTAAGATAACTAATTAAAAATATAAAAAAAAATGATTCTACGTAAATGCGTTTGGTCTAATATGTTGTGCGTGGGCCAGAGAGAGAAAACAAATAGTTCGCTGACATCCTCTCCTCTTAAAAATTTAAAATTTGATTCTAATAATGTGCTCTAAAAAAACCTTAAACTTGTAAAATATGCTCTTTTTACTTCAAATAATTTAAAATCTGAATACTAGACACAGTGGCGTCCGCAGGATTTTTCAATGGGGAGGGCTTGAAAATTAGTTAAAATTTTATTTTTATTTTGTCCAGTCTAATAATAAATTGCAGGCGTTTATTTGGGGTATTTTAAAATGTTTGTAACTTTTCAACTTTTCTGGTAGAAAAAATGCTCTGATCATAAGCTTCGATGCCCAGTGTATGTTTTGGAAGCTAATTGGATCTAGTTAGTACTTTTAGGAGGTCGAAATTAAAAATTCTCAGTGCTTTTAAAAATAATTGGAGAAAAAAAATTAAAATTAATTTAAATTGTTTGGTAACAAGCTTGGTCATACCGTCCTAACTTGGATTGTATCTGATCACATTTTCTATAAATGTCAATAAAAAATTATTTATCAGGTCAAAAAGCTTAAAAATGTAATACGTAAGTTTTTTTATTATAGCTAAAATATTAACGATACGTAGGCATCATGGTTATTTTTTATAAGCATTTAAAGTTCAAATTTCGTCAAAACCACGGTTAATTTATAGATCAAAACTTATAAAATATAAAATATGTATAGCTAAGGCTAGACCATTTAATACAAGGTCTTTCATACAAGTAGTTCATACTTTTACCGAAAAATTACAGATAATTTATGAAAATTGGTATGCAAATACAATTTTTTTTCAAAAATTAATTCATTCTGGTAAGACATATGTATGTAATTTACTATAGTTGACAGTTTAAATTTGATCAATATTTTTTTGAAAAAGTAATAATAATACGGGCAATGGCTTCAGCCCGTTAGCCCCCCCCCCCCTACGGACGCCACTGACTAGACACTAGTATTACAATAGTCAATAGTAACATATTTTGTACATAAGAATATAGATAGTTTTTTTTTTTATATTGAACTTAAGCCCGTTAACTATGGCTATAACAACTAGCTGTTTGTTGTTTTTAAGGGGGAGGGGGGCGGTTGGTACGGTTGGTTGAAACACGTTTTTAGGTTTGGCAGAATTTCAAGTTGGGCACCCATAGGTTTCTGCCATGTCCGGTCGGGGGATGGTAGCAAATAAGGATAGTTTATGTTTACATTAATATTTATATATGTTAACAATTTTCATATTTTACCATCCCATAAGTTATTACACAATTTCAAAAATCTTTTTTTTCTTATGACAAAATAATTTCAACTCTGGAAGTAAAAAAAATACGATTTCTTTATGATTAATTTGAATAATACTTTTAAATATGGAATACAGGTTGGTTGAATATTCCCTAGTTTTTAAAATATGCTTTAATATGCATAATAGAATTTTTTCTATGAATTCTGTAATTGATAAGTCGTCCAAATTTGTCAAACTCTTTGAGCTGCATAAGCCGTAAAGTCAATAAATAAATTACGTAAAAACCTAAAAAATTGCTCACTAGTTATAACTACGTCTTTACACCACAGACATGGATTAAGAATTAAGGGTAATTGATAATAGAGACCATAGAAAATTGGATATTCAATGATTATTACAAAAATTGAATCCTTACTTCACTTCTTATTTTTCTTAAATCAATGTCATGGAAATCAAAATTTTCCTGTTCACAGAAGTTCAGGAGGACATCAACTGCTTCCTTTGCTTAACTTGTTTTTCAAAACTGTCGTCATTATCACTCAGAATAAAAATCAGTGGTGTACTTGTGCTGCCATAACGAACTGCTATGCTACTGTCACTTAAACCTTCAAATCCATCTTCATTAAAATCTTATAGTAGCCAATTAACAATATTGTCTTTATCAATGTTAGCAAAATCTGGAATAAATGTGGCCAGCTCAAGACAAGATTCTATATCCCTATTTTCTATATTTTCTTTGTCGTCATAGTCTTTATCAAAAATTTTCGCCCAGGTATGACTTAACAAACTTGCAGGTACGTTTCCCAAGCATCACATACTGTAAAAATTGCACATAGTTTTATAGTATTTTTACATTGAATATACTTACCTAGTTGCCCAAGTTAATGTTGGTGCGGCATGCTTTACAATTTACACATAGTTACTATATAAAATCTAAATCTTATACATGAAGCACATCGAATTTATGACAAAATATTTTGTTATATATACTAGCACAGATTGCAGATTACAACATGGACATACAATAATACATAATATTATAAGTCTCGGGATTATAATTTGTAATGATTAAATTATATTCATAATTCATCCTATTTTATAAGATTTGATTTAATTTTGAAAATTGAACTTATGTGAACACTCTGATACAACTATGATATACGTTTTCTGTATCAAAGTAGGTCCTAATGATCCTAATTATAAAATGCATAATACATAATATATTAAATCCGTGATTACATAATTTTTGCTTTACAAGATAACTAAAATATCTTTAATCTAAATTACCAACTATGTCACAGAACATAAAGAACAATGGATCATAATAGTCATTAGTTTAACAATGGTTATATCCAAAGTTAGTTCAATTTCGTCGATGAGTGGTTAGCATGTATAATCTATACCAATAATTGAAAATTTTACTAGGAAAGTAAAACAAATTTAAAAGAAAATAATTTATTTTACTTATGACATAAGAATCATTTTATTTAGATAGTTTATAACGACCTCCTGTGAAAATCAAAAGATGTTGTTTAACTTTTTCGTCAAGGAAAAGACGGAGTTGTGTAAGGCTACAATCAACCCCAGTTCCTTGAGTAGCAAACATTTTCAACATTTGATGAATTCTATCCAATGGTAATGAATCCAGATTGGTCAACATACCCACAATATATGACCAGAACACCTATATTCATAAAAAATGTATTATGTAGGATTAAAATAATTTTCACGAATACCTATGGAAACCTCTATAGCATCGTTTCTCAACCTTTTTAGTGTCGTGACCCCCAAAATAGGTACAAAATATGGTCAATCACTTCTCGACCTCCCCTCCATCTATATTAGGTACAAATTTGAACAGTAAAAATATCCTATCATTCGTTGGGTTGTTGGGAATTTTCATTATAAATTTATAAATTAATTTATGAGATAACTACATTTAATGGACTGCTTATTATTGTCATTATTAATATTATTTTTGTGTGTTCTTAAACGATAAATTTATCGATAACAGTCGCGTGTAGCTCGTGTTTAACACATGTTATATTGCGTTATTAGTTTTAAAATTATTTGTATTTTCAAAAAAAAGTTTTTAGTTTTGTGTAATTGGAATTAATAGTTATGAATAAATTTATAACAAAACGTAATGCGATGTATACTTCTGGTGAATCTTGAGTTTTATAATAAAAAGGTACATTTTGTAAATCAGCGTTTTATTATTTTTGACCTACGCGACCCCCTGGTTGAGAAACGCTACTCTATAGACGACTTAACTGTTAATTTTCTATTGAACAATATTTTTTTGTATTTTAACAATATAAGAAGTAAGAACCTGTAATTCTTCCTCTCTTTGATCTTGAGCAGATGCTACAGCACTTTCCATTTCATCATCATCGTCACCATAAACAAATTCAGAATTACGACCAACAAAACTTGTTCGATTACCTTTTCCTGATATGCTTGTAGTTGGAATACCATCTTCCACAAAAATAAAGGTATCAAAAGACTTCTCTCTTAACAAACCCTATACAAATTGTTTTAATTAATAATTTATTTATGATTAATGTGGTGATAGTATTACTTGATTTTGCCAGAATCCTATACGACGTCTTAGGGTCGTAGCTGGTACACGCATTTTTATACTTAAGTCATTAATAGTCCATTCCTCTAAAAAAAATTATTTAGGTTAATTTTGGTTTTAATTATTTAACTTTGGAGAAAATTCACACATTTCATGGTAATAATAATAGTATGGATCAAGGTTGCCCAAATAAAATATTGCAAAAATATAAGCTACTTTCCATATTATTTTTTTTAATGGATAGCCAATCTATTTACTTTCAAATTAATTTATAAGTATTACTAAACATACCTTGCTCTTGGAAATGCCATATAATTGTAGCATGAATTGGCGATACAGTAAAATTTAATGTTTTATCTTTTAACACTAAATCTATATTGATGATTCCAAGATTAGGCTTCCAATTTAAAG